CTAATTTGTCTCGTTACCCATAATCCCCCCAGTAAGATGGCTACGTACGTAATTCTCCTCCTGGCAGTTACAATCTACTGGCTAAGTTAATTTCCGGTGCTCTCCTTTATGACCTCAGTGGCTCTTTACGGCAAATCTGTCAGGAGCATCTGTTAACACCCAGAATACAACTGACTCCATTTAACTTTCCTCCATATATTAACATTTTTGTTTGGTATTAACTCACCCAGTAGCTCATTCCGGGGTGACTGGATGGCCGTCCTGACCAGAGGATTTAAAGCTTACCAAAACAAATCGAACTGAACTGAACTGCCCTGTGTCATAGACAAACAGTTGGAAGACTGATGGATGGAAGGAAGGATGGATGGATGGATGGATGGATAAACGAACAAATCAGCTGAATTGAAAATATAGAAAGACTACTGCACAGCATCCAAGGTGGCACAGCAGAGTGACTATTAATTCAAGCTTTAGGTTCAATTTTAGGAACAAGAAACATCACAGAATCATCAGAAACTTTCTTTCCAAGATTCTAAGGACAGGCAAACAAATACTGAGCAGCAAACAGGCCTGGGGATTTGGACACAGCAGGGGTCTCCAATTCCGATCTTGGAGAATTACTGTCCAGTAGGTCTCCTATCCTGCCTGGCTTCTCATGAGCCACACCTGCTCCTAGTATTTACCTGAGAACAGGTGTGGCTCATCAGAAGCCGGGTAGGATAGAAAACCTACCGGACGGTAGCTCTACAGGACAGGAGTTGGAGACCCCTGAGAAACAGTAAGTCAATGCATTCTGACTGTGGAGAGCAGTGGTTTGGTCCAGGAGCACCCTATAGAATTGGGGAAGGTATGCATGAACCAGTTATGAGATCTTCAAATGAACCCAAGCTTGAAGAGCTTTAATTTTGAAGGCTTTTTTGGCACAAGAAAACAAGTGGCCAATATGGAAAGAGCTACAGACAATGTGAGACAGGCCTCTGGGTCTCCGTGTTTAGCAGCACTGTGGAAAGTTCTCGTTCATACGGCGCTGGCCGGGAGAGCAGCTTACAGCAAGAGAAGCGACCGGCTCTGTTTGGATTCGGGTGTCAGTCCAGGTGTTTGTTTAGTCTGCTGAGCATAAGACATGAGCGTGAAGGTGAAACAGGATGAGCTCACGGACACTCGAGTTTCCCCGTTTCGGGGCGGAGGTGGATACGGGCAAGGGAACGGCAAACACGGTGTCTGCGCGTAACGGAATGCCGGCGAACAGGAGGCCGAGAGCAGAATGTGAAAAAGGGACCGGCCGATAGAGAAACAATAACAGATACAGAGATATCCATGGACACACACACACACAAAGTCAAATTTACAAACACTTGGGCATATACACACACTGAAGACACGCACAAAACAAAAGAGAGCAGATTGCCAGGAACTCTCCAACAGGAGCGTCCATCCAGAAAGACCTGCAAAGCTAAACTTATGAACTCAGCAATCTTGCCAACAGCAGTAACCATTAAATGAAGTTTGCTCAAAAATTCTCCTCTGGGAGTCACAGAATAACAGAATATCCTATTCAGATGTGCGCATCCATTTTTGGGAATTTCCGACATCTCATCGGCAAGCCTAGAGACACCAGACTGGTCATGACATGAGCGCCATGTTTTGTATTATGGAGTACAAGTCAAGCGATTCAGTGCACAAACCACTGCAACCTAAGTACTACAGATCTCCACCTCCATCCCAGATATTAAAATATTCAGTACATAAACACCTGACTCTTAAGTACTGCAGTTTAAAAGCCATCAACATCTACATCACAGCTACTTAACTTTCACTCCTGCTGCAACCAGTCCAGGTTTACGTTCCATTAGATCTCCCTCCTGGATGTGGACTAGTCAAATTGCAAATGAAGTTTCCCTTTACAAAATTAATTAGATATTTAGTTCTTTATGTGAGAGCACGTTTAAATCTTCCACAAATTATCTGAAGTGGCTACAATTTCATTTTTCACATCTATCACGCAAACATCTCCAATGTGTAATGGATTCTTTGATAGGCACTGCTAGCACAGAAACCCAAACACCGCGGCCCACAGGAATGAGAGCCAAGCAGCGCTGGACCACACAGATTGTATATATCGGACAGTGTTTGTCGATCACTGCACTCAGTGTATACATGGTTTGCATGCTGTATAGACTATGAGTGGTTTGAAAGCAAGTGCTGTTCACAATTCCCTCACTTATAGCAGCCTGACTATGCTAATTAATAGGAGTTAAAAAGAGTGGCTTGTTCCTGGGGTCGCAGCCCAGGAGAAAGTCGGAGATCCAGGAAGGGCTGCAAGAAAAGGAGACCCACTGTCCCTACAGGACACAGGGACGCTGTTCCAGGCAAGCGATCGACCGGGAGTCTTCATAGAAATACCATCCAGCTGAGATGAAAACCAAACAACTATGGCCATGAACAAGGACACCAGACCCTATAACAACACAGGACTGATTTGACTTTAACTCCAGTTGACTTTGGGATGATCCCTTAAAGGAGACTGATTAGCCAGATGCAGATTTTTCTCAGTCACTCGTGGGATTTTTATTTACACAAAAATGTTCTGAGGGCAGAAGGAAAAATGATTGTTTATCTCTCTGAGCCAAGCGGATTGTAGAGGAGGTGGGACTAACCAGTCAGATGTCTTGGTCCCACCTCCTCTAGTTACTTGAACCCACCTCCTCTACACTCTGATTGTTTGTCTCTCTGAACAAATCATTGTTCCTTCTGCCCTCAGAACATTTTCAGGTAAGTAAAAAAAACTCCCATGAGCGTCTCACTTAAGCAGCACACAGATATGGCCGATGTCCTTCTGTAGCGCCACCCGTCATGCAGCAACAGCTGGATGCCTGTGGCACACGTTTTTGGTCTGAGCTGCTGAAGCAAAAACAAAAAAATGGCTGCATAAACCGGGGCAGTGTGAGGCTCAACAGGCTTAGGCTCAGTGCCTGTGATTGGAAGATTGCCAGGTCCAGGCCTCAGCATAACGGTCACATGTCTGTGGGCCCATCAGCAGGACCCTTAACCCCCCAGTTCCCCAGGTGCTCATGATTAATGCCTCTCTCCTCTGGCCCGGAAATTAAGAGCACGTCGCTTTCGTCAGGGATGGTGAGAGACAGCTTGCTTTGACACCCCAGGCTGCCCTTCACCATGATCCCCAAGCTTGTTCTCAGCTGCGTGTTGTCTCATGGAGAGCAGGATGGGGTAGGCGAGAGAGAATTCCCCTACAGGGATCAATAAAGTATCATTCTATTCTAAACAGCATAGCTGTTACGATCTAAATGCCTAAGCAGGGGGATGGAACAGTGGAATTTAGTTAAAGGTACAGAGTGAGGAGACAAAGGCTATAATCACTGACTGCATTCTGGGGACCACTTATTCTGTCCTGATAGAGACTCATAGTTTGTTTCAGCATGTGAGGGGCTCAGGATGGACCCCCCACATCCATGAGTGTGTGTTTGTCCAATCACGGCCCGGCCATTAGAGCATATTTCGACACTCCAGGAAACCATAAGGCTCACCGTTTCCCAGCATGCTCCTGACTAGCACTGGGGTCCTGTCTAAGCAAGCCGTCTCTCACCATTCCTGACGAAAGCGACGTGCTAGTAATTTCCAAGCCTTGCCGGGCCAGAAGAGGCAGGAATTAATCATGAGCCTTAAAGTTCACTTAAGATGCTCAAATGCTCGGTCTGACGCTGCAACAGAATGACGGCGCACACACCAAAGCCATCACACAGCGTTAGCACGCGGCTAAAGCATGTGACTGCATACTCAGACTGTCCTACTCCGAGGGCCTGAAGTGTTTATTAAACACTGCGCACATGATAGGTGTTTTCTATTATGGGTGTTATGGATATCGACCAAGCAACACATTTGATCTTAGGTTAATTGCAGAGAAAGTGTAATGCATGTCATTCAGTATCTGTCAGAGGAAGAACTGTCACATTTAGGAACACCACACCTCTCTGTGCTCTCCCGTGCGTTAAACTCCATTCTGGGGTGCTGGTAAAGACAGACCCCCAAAATCATTGTAACAGATTCAGTATGATACTGTAAACTGAAATGAGGACGAACTGTAAAAATGTCTGCATGCATGAATTTGAGATTTAGGAAGAGTCCCCGTAACAGCTAGCTTGGGAGGCACCGTTTGGCCAGAAAAGTATTCTGGGATGGATGCCATGTATGAATTTCCAGAAAGGCACTATCTTACTGGGTGACAACTACACGATTATAGCAGCGATACAAAAACAGGCATCCCTGCAGATTTAAATGGAGTAGTGCACTAAACGTAATCTAGTAGGCTACTGCTGGTTAAGTTACATTTCCAGGAAAAAACAAATGCAACTTCATTAAATAACATACTATATTATTATTATTACTATTACTGTTATTATTATGACTATTATTATTATTATTGTTATTATTATTATTTCTACTACTACTAATATACTACAATTATAAAAATCAATAAATAACAAAAGGGAATTATAAATGCAACAAATAGCAACACTCTCCGCATGCCCCGCGAAGCAGATATTCCGTACCTAGAAAATCATGTCAGTTGCACCGGCTATTCCGAAATATCAGCAAAAACCGCAGAGCCTGCTGGTGACAAATTACCCGGCGAGGTAACCAGTTACCCCCCCCCCCCCCTTTCAGTCTATTCGCCTAGTAATTGCCTTCAACGCAATTTAATTTTACATTTATTGCGCTGTCATTAAAAGAACCACGTGACAAATCGACAATATTCAGGTAAATATTATTTATCGATTCCTCTATGTTTAATGCCAATTTAATAAATATATACGGTATTGGTGAACATCACATTATCCATGCCTTGAGTCATCCGTATAGGAATTTCAGCGACATCCTGTAATGAGCCGCGGCGGCATGAGGATCTTGCTTGCAGACATACCTACATGCTGATATATTTACTATGTACGATACATAGAAAAACATACAAGGAAAACACTGACCCAGGTCCCCGGCGTCCATTCCGTAACTAACGCCGACGACGGTGTCCGTATCATCGGAAGCTGCGGACACTCTTGACGGATTGCCTTCCACGGCCTCCGCCAAACCTGCCGCTCCTTCCCCGTCCGCTTCCATTCAGAAACCCGCAATTACAAAAAAAAAATACGGTAATGAAGCTGATTCAATGCGCGCAGCGATGTCTTTGGCGTTAATTAAATGGACGACCTGCGCTAAGCGTCACTAAGCTAGACATTTGGCTAAACAAGGTTTTCCCTATGATGGGGCGCATCTAGCGCGGATTTATGGTTTTCATCGGGGCTGTGTGAGAGCCACACTCAGACGCGCGCCTGCCCCTACGCTGCCGATGGTGCCTTTCATCCGACCCATTCTGTACCACGGCTCTCCATGGGCTGCGCGTCACGTCGCCGCTCGGCTTTCCGACGTAATGGCCCGAAGCTGGGTGACGTCAAGCCGAATCAGAGGCCTGGAGCGCACGAGGCGGAGTCCCACCCGAAGAAGGGCCCGTTTGCGGCTCTTTTCGTGAAAGGCGAAGACGCAGCTCCCCCAGATGGAGAAGCGAGATTCACGATGCTGTGTTTTATTTTGCAGGCCAGTTGTCAGGTGCAGTAAGAAAAATCGCCCCAATATGTCCATCTGGGTGAACAAACAATATATGTCATCTGTATTAGCTTTAAAGTTTGCAAGTGACATACCTTTGAGTATGTGAACGTTTATATATGTAAAATCAGTGCTTGAAGTTGGAAAAAATAAGTGCAGGAACTCTAATTTTCCGACATTTGACATTTGTGCGGTGAAAAAAAAATCAAGTCTTTAGGATGTGTTGGTTCAAAAACTATTTTAATTTAATCATTCTTCCAAGCAATAACCTATAGGCATAGGCTACTTTTTTCTAATTCACAAATGGAATACTGAAAAACCATTAAAACAACATGAACCAGACCAGTGTGATACTTGTAGGCCTAACAATAGACTAGGGCGAAAGCTGATG